TGGGAATAGATCTTTACCAGCCTATTACAGGGGCTGACTCACAGGCACACGCCTCAGCTAGCTTTCACACGGGTACTGAGAATCTAATTAGAACTCCTCATGCTTGCACAGCAGGGACCCTAGCCCCCTCTTAGGGTGTGTGTGCGTGTTTATGTGTTACATTCAACACACATAACCAACTTAGCCTCTTCTCTCCTCTAAGGGTCCCAGACACATGATCCAAAGGTTAAAGGACATCGATGAGGTTCAGAATGTTGTAAACAGGGGCGTCAACACGAAAAAGCGCTCACTCCCAAGTCTCTCTGCTCGTCCACTCAGTAAGTGCAATATCATGAATTTTAACCTGGTTACAGATTTTACTCTATGATCAGAGAAGGTACACTTTTATGCCTGCTCTAAGAGTCTATTATTAACATTCTCATTTTTGTAAATATAGCCCAAAAATGGGACCTTTACAATGACAGGTACTACTGTTGATTAGGAAAGCTAACTTTGCGTGACTTCTAGAGATGGGGATGCTGTCAAATCTACTCAGTGCTCACAGTGCACATGTGAACATAGCCAGTTTCATCTGAAGGCTCACAGTTCTAAAGTTTTCTCTCTTCTCACCTCAACTGATTTTGTATACATGCTTACATACATTCTGTATCTGTCAGTATTAGCAAATGCAATCAGTTCCAACCCCAGCAAGGTTTTCCTCTAAACCTTCATAAACCATTTGCAAACAAATTGGGAACCACCTTCCCTCTCCAATTAATGGTGGTCTGATATTAAAAAATAAAAAAGCATGTGTATGTGTGTTGGCAAATAAATGCCATGGGGGAAGATTAAAAGACTGAAATAACTGAGCAAGCAGTGGTATTGTACATCTGGAGTCCCAGCACCTTTAACTTCAGGCAAAGGCAAGAGGATATCTCTGTGAGTTCTAGGCCAGCCTAGTCTACATACTGAGTTGCAGGACAGCCAGAACTACGTGGAGAGACAAACAAAACAAAAAATTTTAAATTCAATAATTGATAGAATATAGGTAAGTACATTTGGTAAATGGTACTTTAATCCAAAGACTCACCCAACTTAGGTTTTTCTAAGGCTGTACATTAAGTGAATGGTGTACATGCTGAGAAAGGCATACTACATAAAATCTGTCTGGACCATTCTAATCAACTTCAATTCTACCACAATCTACATTAATAGAACTAAATTTCATGGAATAAATCACTTATCTACACTTTTACTTATGAAACTACAGACCCAAGAATCCTCAACAATTCTCTACAGATAGAAAAGTCTGTCAAAGATTAGCAGAGGCAATTTCTCAAGACAAGCTAGCCTAATCTAGCCTCCCTCCCCAACCTCAAGAAAGTCACTATTTTTCCTCTTGAAATCTCAGCATTTCTTCTAAGAGAGCAACAGTTTTATCACAGGACTTCTTGTTAATATCACTCAACTGAGAGGGGACTTGTGGGGGGGGGAAGGGGGGAATAAAAAGGATGGGACTGGAAAGGCCACAGGTCTTTATAACCCAGGTAGGCCTCAGAGTCACAATCCTGCCTTAGCTACAACAGTGAGAGGAGTGGTGTAGTGTGGGTTTCCAAGCCTGGCAAGTTTCTAATCTCAAGAGATCTTCAATTTAAAAACACAGATGCATACAAACCCCATCATCATCTAAGAGTTTCAGGTTAAATTCAAACACGCAACCCCACAGGTCACCTTTGGAGAGCTGAGAAAAACCAAGGAGCAGAGAAACCGAGGCCTTAAAACACAAGAAAAGACCTTTTCACAGACTCCATTCCCTGATGAAAGATTCAACTGAATGTGGTGTTCCACCCTCTCGATCTCATGAGGTACTTGTTTGTGTAAAAGAGAAATACTTTAGCCAACCAGCAGGGTGAGCTATCGCTAGAATCAGTCATTTTCAAAACCTCCAAATTTCAATGGCATAAATGGTAGTATTAACCTAGTCACAAACAGCACCTTTAGGACTACACCTCATAAATTGTCCAATGTTTACACATACAAAATACACCTATACACCAGATAAATGCAGAAAAACAAAGACCTCGTGAATATCCAAATTCACTCCCATGTTTGATTTACAAAGCCACTAATTTTAAATCTTTCTTCTTAATTTTCTAACAGGACTGCTAAGCACTCAGAATGCTCTATAAACTCAACTGGACAACTCAACAAGCCAACATTTACTGCATGCCAAGTCTCTTGTGTGACTGGCACACTTAGCAAGTAATCCTGTTCCTCCCAGAGTCACACTGAGAGAAGAGTCTAAACTGCTAATCCTATACTATAAAGGTGTCTTTGGCATGACAGACCTTCCACCATTTTGTCTCTCTCAAGCTTTTCTTCTGCTACCCAAACTCTCCTAGAACTTGAACAAACTGAAAAACCTGGAAGGCAATTAAGGCATACAGGTGACACTCACTTTATAATTACACATAATCTCAAAGTAACCCTAATTAGCACAGACTAAGTGTAATTAAATATATTCAGTGTTGAAAATTGTGACCTAGCCTTTCAACCTTAGGGGAAAAAAAAGGCAGTAAACTAAAAAGCACTTTAAATGACCCAAAAGCCTCACACTAAGCAGCACTGTGAACTCCATCACACATGACCTCACCTCTTGTTGCATTTCCTAAGACTGTACTAGCAGTAGCTGGTCTTAAAAAGTCACTTAAACAGTAGTCTGAGAGGCACGTTTGTTTGTCCAACAAAATGACATTACAACGTGAGAGGTACCAGCATGGCCTTCTACACCTTTCATCTTCCTTGGCCTTTCCTAGCAGGAACATCAGTTATCTCCAACTATCCTAGAGTTATCAAGCACATTCTTTGTCTTTAATTTTTGCATTTCTGGGACATGCCAGTGTTGGAAAGTTCTCACAATCTATATACATAAGCAACACTGCTACAAAATTACATAACACTAAATGTACTGTCTCAGAAGGTCTCACTAGCTTTAACAGGTATGCTCAGCAATGCCCCTTGTTTTTAAAAGCACTACTAAGTGCTAACAAAACTAGGACTAGGGTAGGAGTTTGATAGAGAGTACGGCTTCCATCACACCACTAACTACTCAACACACGGCTAAGGCGATGAGTAAGAACAGTAACTCTTCCAGCCATCCTCCTTTGTAAAACTGGATGAGCCAGAGAACACATTTGACTGTTAGTATCTCTCCTGCCTAATACAAAACTGTTTGAAAAAAAAAGCTAACAAAGGGAAAATACATACCCGAAAAGAAACAAGGAAAACTCAAGTTTTAAGTAATGTTAAAAAGTTCAAAGCTCTAAAGGTATTTTAATAGTCCATGTAATTAATTAATGACACATACAAGGCACCAGCTCTTTTGGAATTCACCCTTCAGTATTAGTTACTTGCAATACAATGCATGATGCAAACACAATATAAAGTATTTAAAACTTTTACAGCCACATTTTCAACAGCAACATACAAACCACTGCATTAGTACCAGGTCAGACACTCAGCTTTCACCAACCTAAAGGTCTACACTGAGTTATAACTTCATCATAGAATCTCCATTTCTTTCTTGCTAAACCTACCCGAAACAAGGTAGGGCTGAATTGCTGACAACTAGTTCCTAGTTACTTACACATGGCCCTTAAGTAGGTTTTCTTGATCTGGGGAACTTTAGTTGTTTAGGTTCTGAAATACTCTCCTTCCTAAGGCCAAAATTAACTAAACTAAAATGTGATTAGGGCAAATCCAACACATCTCCCAGATACAGTAAACTTGCCATCAATCAGGACTGGCCACAACAGATGATGTGTTTGGGTACTTCTGTGGAAATTGTGCACAAAACAAGAGGACCATCATTTCAGGGCCACAAGCCGTGGGTATCGCTTCTCGTTGAGTTTATCACATAAAATGTGAAATCTAATATGCAAGTTTTATAACAACTACATTTAAGTCAGTATTAAACAGTTGAAGAAAACTTTTCCACTAATGTCGCTAAACCATGGGTGGATCCCAACACGAGAGTCGTCTGTGGAAGTCTCGCAACAAGAAACCACCTAAGTTTCCAATCACGGGGTAGGGTCTGGGACAACTCATCTTCATGTTCTTGGGAGGACTGGATGGAGCACACCTGCTTTCCTCTGGCAGAGATTAAGCTCCCAGGGACACAAAGGCCAGATAATCAGACCTGGAGAGGCAAAAAGCTTTAGCTGGATACCCACCAAGCCCCTTAGCCACCCAAACACTTCGAGTGATTTTTTTTTTTTTTTCCTTTGGGCTTTTTTTTTTTTTTTTTTTTACCTCTTGGAGTTACTTCCCAGGCACTTAATGACACAAGATGTTGCAGACCAGTGGGAAGAAGGGGAAGACTATGTGCTCTAGTCCCAAAGTCAGGGGAGGGGTGTAGACAGTTAGCGCCAGGGCCGGAGCTCCAGGCCGGGACGGAGCAGCGGCGCACGGGGCGCCGGCTGACTACTCTCGGACCGCCCCGTTACTCCGGGCGTTACAATGGCGACCGCAGGGCTCCCTGGACCTCCGGATCTCGGCCCCTTCCCCCTACTGGCTGCTCCGCTACATGTGACTAAACAAAACCCCCCAAGTCCGAAGCCCGGCTCAGCCCCTTTGTGTCCGCCACCGGATCCTCCGCCGCCGCAGCGGAAAGGCCCCCCGCCCGCCGCCGAGTCCCGCCCCACGGCGGCCACTGCCGCTCACCTAAGGTTCCGCGGCCCCCCGCGGCCGCCGCCTCCCGAACCCCGCGGCCCGGGCTCCTTGTGCAGCAGCAACTCCGCCTCCTCGGCAGCAGCCGCCATCTTAGCCTGTGCGGCAAAACGCGTCGTTTCGGAGGGTTGGGAGCCAGCCTAGGGCGTAGCTCCCCAGGCCCAAGCGCCGCGGGCCGGATCCCCCCCACAACTTCTTCCGCCACCCTCAGTCCTGCCACCGCCTCAGCCCGGACGTCCGAAACGCGGCCGGGGCCTGGGCTAATCCGACCAAATAAGACCCCCGAAACTCACAGTTTGGTGCCGTGTGCGTCAAACCGGGGCGACGTTGGGAGCGCGCGGCGTCCCCGCGTCACACGCCGCACTGTACGCTACTCGGCTCCAACGGCCCCCTCCGCTCCCCGCTTCTCGCCTCCGGCCTCGGTTCCCACGGCGCAGGCGCGCGGCTTTCCCGCCTCTGCCTGGCCGCGGGCCGCCGGGGGAGGCTAGCGAGGCGCGCCCGTGCGCTCGGGCCGCCGCAGCTCCCGTGCCAATCAGACCCGCGGGGGGCGGCAGAAACACGGCACTGCAGCCCTCCCGTGCCAAAACCTAACAAGGTCACCTCCCCCAGCGGTGACCTAACCACTCCTGAGGAGGTTCCCGCCCCAAAGTAGGCACGCTCCAAATATGGTGGTGACCAAACTCCGCAAGACCCAAGTACCAGGAATGCCTAGGCCCCTTAAGGTGGAATAGGCCCTTCTCTGGTGTCTGCAATCTCTGGTTTGCCAAAATTCCGTTCCTTTTTCCTGCTGTTGAAAGAACCAGCCACATATGCCAGGCCTACCTTGGAGCACTGGTACAGACAGGTTTCATGATGTTAAACAGGCCAGGTGGCCAAAGCATAAGGTGTAGAAACTCAGTTACCCAAGCAAGACACCCAGAACGAAGAAGCCCCGGATTTGGGTTCCTTGGACTCTACGAGGGCAGATTCATCACTGAGGAACATGCCTTGATTGTCCAAATTGAAGTCATGTAAAGAGACTCTGAAATGCTGGTTAACTCTTCAGGTAATCAATAGATTCCCCAGAGGGTCTCTAAATCTCCCTTTTAACAAGCATTCAGCCATAGGCTTCTGAGGGAAGTAGCACACTAATTAGAGGTATTCGCTTTGCTTTTGAACCAAGCCAACAAGTTCCTAACCTGTTGAAAGTGAACTAAACGTTCTAGAATACTCTCATGAGCCTGCCTTACTAAATTCTTTGATTTCGCTGAAATGTTTTCTCATGAAAAACTTTAAAAAGTTTTTATTAGTTAAGCAGTAATCACGAACCGTGCACCTCCAAGCCTTTAAGATATTATTAACATTCAGAGGAATACACTATAATTGCGTTTATTTGACAAGAACGAGAATATCTTTCCTGAAAAATGGTGCCTACAGCAGCAGCAAACGTATCCCAAAGAACGGATATTTTACTATCCACTCTAATTTTTTCACGTGCTAATAACTGCTGACACTAGAGTGTTTGCTGGGTGTGCATCCGGCATTCTGTAACCTGTTCAAGTTCATTACAACCTAAAGTGGCAAGGAGATATTAGACTATTTTTCTCACAACTACAAGACTGTTGGGCTATTTCAAAATGTAAGCTTGCCTTCATAGACACAAATAGATATACAACAAATAAATGTGTGTCTATTTTCAGCCAATTGCTTGGGAGAGATGCACTTTAGAGACTGATTTTTATTTCATGAATATGGGTTTTGATTGAATGTGTGGCTATGCACCTCATGCTTCCTGCCTGGTACCGTGGAGTCCAAATGAGCCTCTGCCAGGCTCTGAAACTGGACCTACAGATGACAAGCCACCATGTGGAAGGTGGGACCTCAACCGAGTCCTCAACAAGCACTTCAAGTGTCTTAACCAATGAGCCATATCTCTAGACCATGAGGTCTGTTAACCTGCAGAATTCGAAGGCCTACCACCTGGAGCCAAGCCTTTTACATGAGTCTTCAGGACACATTTCAGATATATAAAATATACTGATTTCTAGGATCTCCAGATATTTTGTGTGTGTGTGTGTGTGTGTGTGTGTATGTATATGTGTGTATGTGTGTGTGTGTGTGTGTGTGTATGTGTGTGTGTGTGTATGTGTGTGTATGTGTGTGTATGTGTGTGTATGTGTGTATGTGTGTGTATGTGTGTGTGTGTGTGTGTGTATGGGTGTATGTGTGTGTGTATGGGTGTGTGTGTGTGTGTGTGTGTGTGTGTGTGTGTTCGGATTACATGAAATGTTGAATTAGTGAGCTTTCATAGTTCTAACAAAAGTTGATTTTTAAAACAACTTTCAATTTAATAGAGAGTGGGGAAGTAAAAAAAATAAAGCTTTTAAAATTATAAACAGAATCTCTCATGAGAGCCAGGCATGGTGGTAAGTATCCTTATTACCAGCACTATGGAGGCAGAGGTGGGTAGATCTCTAATTTGAGGCCAGCCTAGTCTATAAAGAGACTTCCAGAATAGCTAGGGCTACACAAAGAAATTCTGTTGAGAAAAAAAAAATAATAAATGAATAAATAACCTCATAAAGCAGTAGAAAATAGATTCAGTATGCAAATACTATAAAATATATCTAGAATTTAATATGAACTGGGGAGCTGGCCCAGGAGGCAGAGGACACTGTTCAGTGTGAAGACCAGATGGGAGTACAGATCCCAGAACTCTTGTAAAAGCTGGATGGACATAGCATCAGATTTGTAACTGCAGCCCATGAGACTCCGAGACAGGGATCCCTAGAGCAAGCTGGCTAGCCAGACTTGCTAAATCTTCAAGCCCTAGGTTCAGCAAGAGACATTGCTGAATACAGGAGACAGGAAGCAATCAAGACGTCACATCAACCTTGGGACTCCACAGGCATGAGCAATCAAGGAGACATCACACCACCCTCGGGACTCCAGGCATGCATGTATGCAGGTGCACCACTCCACATACATGAGTGATTACTCACTCAGACATGGAGAAAGGAACACGTCTACTGTCATCCTCTTCTCCACATACATGTAATCACTCACTCAGACATGGAGAAAGGAACACATCTACTGTCATCCTCTTTAGCATCTCAAAAGCAGATGCTGAGAAAGGAAGGAACCACTGGGCCAGGGAACCTTACACATAGAACACTGAAGCAGTGCGTAGAGAAGGACCTGTCCTGTGTCACTCAGAGTACCACAAGGAAGGAATTTAAAAGAGGAAAGGACTGTTCCTAGCTTGCAATTTTAGTTTATGGTTAACTGGCTCCACTGCTGGATCAGAGAATAGCAGAAACACATAGTGCAAAGTCACCAGTCACTGTCAGAAAAAAATAGCTGTCACCTTAGAGCCAGAAAGCACAAAGAATGAAAAACTGGGGTCAGAGTCAAGATCTGTTCTTCCAAGGAACACCTCAGTGACCTAATTCACCCAACTACACCTCATCATTATCAGTAACACCCTCAAATTGTGAATTCATCAATGGGTTGGTCCACTGCTGATATTAATCCTCATGATCCAATCAGGTCCCATAGGCCTGTCGGCTGGGGACCAAGCCTCTAATACATGAGCCATCAGGGAGAATTCAGATTTAACCATAACAAAGCACAAGAAAACAAATTAAAGGACCAAAAAAAAAAAGACAGAGTAGCAAAGGAAGTACTGGTAACAGCTTGGTGTTATGACAACTGGCCCCAAATCTCAGTGGTATAACAACAGTAAGCTTGTTTGTACAATGGTCCTCAGCAGTAAGTTGGGAAGGGAAAGGCCTCGGAGCAGTTATTGAGGGCATAATATACACATCAGACACTGGCAGAAAACACTTCTCAGTTTCAGTCGTCAGCAATTCAGGCACATGGCCCCACTCACTGAAAGACAGTCTCAAGAATGACGTTTATTCCAGTGAGGTAAATGGGGGAAAGTCGAGTTCCTAAGTAAGTGTAACAAAGGGTTCATGAAATATAGGGGTGTCCAGAGTATGTGTCAGGTCAAGGTAAAGTTCCACAACATGACTGACTCATTCTGATGTGGTGGTTTGAGGAAGAGTGGCCCCCATATGCTCATATATTTGAATGCTTGGTCTTCAGGATGTGTCACTACCTGAGACGGATTGGGAGGTGTGGCCTTGTTGAAGTAGGTATGGCCTTGTTAGAAGAAGTGTGTCATTGTGTATGAGCTTTAGGGTTTCAAAATCCAAAGCCAGTCACACTATCTCTCTTCCTGCTGCCTATGGATGGGTCTGGATGAGGATCTCTCAGCTACTTCTCTAGCACCATGTCTCCCGGCACACTGCCATGCTTCTTGTTATGCTTCCCATCATAACAATGATGAACTAAAACTTGGAAACTGTAAGCAAGGCCCATTAAGTGCATTGCTTTATAAGAGCTGCAGTGGTCATGGTGTCCCTTCACAGCAATAGAACCTTGGCTAAGACAGCTGATAAGATCAAGCAATTGACTCACACAACTGAGAGACAAATAGAAAGTTAAAGGTAAATATCCAGAGGTTCTCTACATCTAAGCAGCCAGGCTTCTCCTGGTTAAGAGCCACCCCCAGAACACTTTCATCAAGTTTCTACACACATAGAACTTGACATGTGACTTTGGTTTTTTTTTTTCCAGTCAAAGATTCCAAACATGCTATAATATTAACATCCATCAAAGGAAAAAAAAAAGGCATCTGTAATTTCAGCTATCCCATCTGCTTTATTAAGAAAAAGTATAAAATATTATGCCAATGAATTAGATCACATGAACTGATTTTCCTTGGAATCAAAAACAGGGAGATACTGTTGAACAAATGTACACCTTTAACTACACGACAATAACCCCAGGTCAAGGTTAAATATAGATGAAATGAAATCACTTCCAAAGGAATGTGAACTCTCTTATCATTTTTATACTTGTTTATTTGTTTATTTATTTTTGGACACAGTTGAGACATAAGTCGAGAATGGACTCAAAGTCCCTTTGTAGTCAAAGATGACCTCAAACTTCAGATCTTCCTGCCCCAACCTCCTAAGTGCTGGGATCATATCATTCATCAACATCTGTTTATACAGTGCTGGGACTTGAACCCAGGGCTTTGTGAATGCTAGGCAAGTACTCAAACAGCTGAGGTACGCATTTAATTAAAATTCTATAACTATGTTGAAAGAAAGGAAAGAGTGATGGTTGTGAGCTTTTGTCCTAGTGTTACTATTGCTGTGGTGAAACACTATGACCAGAACAGCTTGGGGAGGAGAGGGTTTATTCAACTTACACTTCCACATTGCTGTTTATCACCAAAGGAAGTCAGGACAGAAACTCAAGCAGAGCAGGAGCCTGGAGGCAGGAGCTGAAACAGAGGCCATGGAGGGGTGCTGCTTACTGGCTTACACCCCATGGCTTGCTCAACCTGGTTTCTTATAGAAACCAGGATCACCTGCCCAGGGGTGGCTCCTCCCACAATGGGCTGCTCTGGCCCTCCCCCCGCCCCCCCGTCAATGCTAATTAAGAAAGTGCCTTACAGCTAGATCTCATGGCTGTATTTTCTCAATTAAGACTCCCTCCCTGAGAATGACTTTAGCTTATGTAAAGCTGACCTAAAAC